TATTCCTGACTTCTTCCAGATGGATTAAACGTGGGGTACATAATGAGTTTGCTAGGCCCATCCTCCTTTTAACGTCTTTAGAACTGCAAATAATTGGGAACGTTTCAGTTCAGCAAGAATATTTGAAGGATCATCCAGCAAAACTTCACATTCATCTACACTCAAAGACCCCTTGAGACTCTGGACAGCCTCAAGAAACTGTGATATAATACTTTTCGGCGAACAGAGTTTTTGCTTTTATGGTATAGTTTGTATGTAATCAACCAAAAAAGCTGGAATGGAGGGAGGATTTATTTATTTTTATGGCCTTGTGACTGACTTTCCTGAGGAAAAGTTGAAAAAAGGCTTGATCTTTCAACTGAATCTAACTCTATCGACTGTGTGACTTTGAAAATCACCCATTTTGGTCAATCACTGAGATCTAAAAGATTACCGCCTGTTTATTAAGCATTACTCACTTTAATCTGATTGGTATATTGTATGTTGTTACAAAATAGCGTGAGCTGCTCCCTGGGGCAAAATGTTCGGTCGTCTGCTCTCTATTCCATAAATGCATAAAAGTGCTTATTTAGGCTGGTACAAACATGTACCTTTTAAGTCGTTTCGTCTTTTTGCAAATATGTGATATTTGCTAGATCTTTAGCTTTCCAGGGCCTTACTGCCCCTTTTTTTTATCTTAAAACCTACTTTTACAGGTCGTTATGCCTCTTCTTCTGGCCCATGCCCTTTCAGCCGTTACAAATTTCAGCATGCTGCTAAGCATTGCAACCTTCACGCCGATTGATTCAGATTCCTATACTCTGTTGACGCCAGGGAATTGCACCACCGGATTTCGACTGACCGACAAACTGCAATCGGGCACATTGCTTGTCAGCTTTGGTAGGATAAACCGCTTTGTTATTCGTTAAAAGCGACTTGGACAAGTGTTGTTTAGACAATTACACGACAAATTGGATTTATATGGAGAAGTATTTTAATAGTCGGCATGTCATGATTTCAAGGGGGCACAACCAACGAAGAGATACTTTTTCCAGTTGTAAGGAAATTATAAAATATTCGTCCACACTCAGAGTGAGAATGTCCCGTTAGTGAAGATGTACATGGGCAAAAGGAAAACAGTATTGATTGTTGTCTTCACTTAGGGCAGATAAACTTTAGTATTATAGGCCATAAAATTCTCACTTGAAAATCACTTCTGCCTATAACTTACCACAGAATTAAGACCAATTTACATGATTATCCGTTCGCATATGCTGATATAGACAGCATACTCTTAAGCATCTGGCTGGGATTTTTCTATCCTTTTTATATTACCGAGGGTCATCGGCTAGGAGCTTGAAAGTAAGAAGATCTACTCTGCCCTAACAGATCATGAATACAACCATAATGACAGAGAATCGTATAAACTATCTTGGGAATACATATTGTATGCAC